AGTTACATGTGAATTTTGCCAAATGTCTAAGGATGAAATTACACATTCTTTATGATATCTCCAGGAAATAAGCAATAGGGAACATTTCTTAGCTCTTTCAAAAAGGCCAGGATTATCTCCCACTATCAAAATCAGATAAAGATATTAAAATTAAGAAAAAACTACAGACCAATATCTTTTATGAACATGGATGCAAAAAAATGCTTAGTCAAAAAACAAATCAAACACATGTGCAGAAATAATTATGCCATAATCATGTAGAATATATTCTAGGGATGCAAGGTAGTTCAGTATTAAGTATAAATAAATTTGCTCCACTATGCCAACAACGTAGAGAAGAAAAATAGATTATATGATCACTTTAATTGATGCAAACAAAGAAAAGTATTTGACAAAATTCAATACCTATTCATGATGGACACTCAGCAAACGGGGCATACCAACTTTAAGGAACATCCACAAAAATCCTGCGGGTAAAATCATAGTTAATATTCCTGAACTAGATGGCTCCCGTTAGGCTGAGAGCGAGGTAAAGATGTCCTCTCACTGCTCCTATTCCGCACTGGAAAACTAGCTACAAAAGAACAGAAAAGGGAAGGAGGAAAACGTTAAATATATACATACTGAAAGATAAGAAAGGAAGCTGTCCCTTTTTGTAGGTTACATAATTTCTGTGGATAAAACAAGAAAGAACTCACACACACACACACACACACACACACACACACGAAGTCATGCTTTACGATATCACCTCACACCTATTGGAATAGCCACTGTAAAAACGAAAATAAACAAAAAAGCAAACTCTGAACAACAGCAACTGTGAGAAACTGGATCCTTTGGGTTTGGGTGGTAGGAATGTAAAATGATGCAGCTGCTATTAAAAAAAAAAAAAAGAAAGTATGGAGGCTCTGCAAAAAATCAAAAGTAGAATTACCATGTGACCCAGCAACCTCACTTCTGGGTGCACAGCCAAACAAACAAAATATTAAGTTGTCGGAAAAGTCATACTTTTCTACGCAAAAATGTGTCATGAATTTTCCGACGCCCCAATATTCTGTTGCAGTGAAAACAACCTGAGTGTTTCTGAATGAATAAATGGACAATGACGATGTGGTGTCTGTGTGAAATGGAATATCAACCCCTCTTTAAGAAGGAGGAATTGTGGGTTCACTATCACAGACATCTATCTGGAGGACAATGGCTCAGTGAAGTAGGTCAATCACAAAATGACAAATACTTCACGATCTCACTTCTCAAATATACCCAGAGTAGTCAATTCTTAGAAATAGAAAATAGAATATTGGTTTTCCAGAGCCTTTGCAAGATAAAAGGGCTAGAGATCTGTTATAACAGTACCACTACTGTACTGTACACTTAAAAATGGTATGACAGTCAATTTTGTTAGGTCTTTTTTTAACCAATAATGAAAGGAACTGCAAAAGTAATTTATATTTGTTTAAAGTTTGTTATTATAGTCAACTTTTCTGCCCTGCGGTCACATGTCAGTTTTGCAATGGATATCTTATGGCAGAGTCTACTTAAATATAATTTTGGGACAAGAACTTATTTTCTTTATTCATTTGACCAAACTCTGTGCTTTAAACATGTCTTTTAGAAAACAAAACTACACTATGTGGAAGAACTCACCTAAAAGAAGATATTCTTCTAAAAATTAAAAATCAAGAGATGAAAAATAATATATAGTAAGAAAGGCAAACCAATATTATCTTTATAAATGGTATTATTTGGAGCAAATCACACCAAGTGGGAATAAAGGGATACGCTCTTCAGAGGTAAAAGGAAGTGTTAACCAAGAACAGAGATCGTGTAAATGTATGCAGATACCAAGAGGTTTTTAAATACATAAACAGACAGAATTGCATGAAAATATTACAAAGCTACAGACCAAATAGCTTTTGTGTTAACCTTCTCTCGACAACTCGTGGTTTGACTTAAAAAGTCAGTTGTGGAGGAATTGCAAGTACCTTGCTGTCGCTGCAACTGCGCGGCTGTAGGAGCCAAGAGCAGCAGTTAGAGTGCAGAGCCTTCCTCAGAGAGCTTGGCTGTTTCCATGATTTCTTGGGAGCATTCGAGCATTTGGGTCCTGACTGAGTTAGCTTGTCAGGGTTTCTGTTTGTTTTTAGGCTTTTGTTGCAGGGTGTGGGTGCTAACTGGAGAGAGAGAGAGACAGTGAGAGGGCAAGTGAGAATTCACCCCCTTAATGGCTACACTGCAGTCCCTTCTCCTTCACTCTCCTCCTGGGATTTTGGGCACATACCCACTCGTACTTGGCATGATTTTTGAGCTGCTGTGTCTGCCGTGTCTGTGCATGGACCCCGGTTGGCCATGTGACAGTCCAGCACCATACTGCCATGCCACTTGCTGGCCCCGATACCTGATGCTTTTTAAAGTACTCTTTTATTGCCTAAAGTAAACAAACAAAATAAATACATTAATAGGTATGAAATAGATGAAAATACAGACTAGCTATACAAATAAAATAAGTTATATAAATATATTCCTAAATTTGCTATTTATGTGTCTGTATATAAATTTATTTATACATATATATGTAAGTTTCAAGGTACATGGACTATTAAAAGATAAATGAAAAGGCAACATTTTAATATAAGAAATACAAAAGGAATATGATTAAGGATCCTAAAAACATTAAAAAGATCTTAAATTATATATATATATGTATATATATACATATATGCATATCATCTTAATAAATTAGAAAGATTTAAAGACATAGAAAAATTAATAAATCCGAGATGTTTACCTTCCCTGTCTCAATAATTGCTGGTTGAATGAACTAATTTTGGCAGCATTATAATTGGGTTGCTGGAAGAGTCATGACACATTTTTGCATAGAAAAACAGAAAAAAATGTGTCATGACTTTTCTGACAACCCAATAATAGTGTCTGCATCATTTCTTCTTAGTATTCTAGTTATTAGTAGCCTTCTTGAGCATTGCTTTATTTGTAGGTATTTCTCTAAACTAAAGAAGTAGTGAGCCTCAGGTAACAACAAAATCTATTCAATTAGAGTGACAGAGGAAAACCCATGGGTACCTATTGCATAAGTTGTTCATATTATTATTATGAATTCATTTTATGTGTTGACTTTTTTCAATTTCTCTCCCCTAGGTTATGTAGTTTCTTATGTGAATTTAAAAGGGATAGCAAATGAAACATTGCCAAGCATAGTGAAAAGGCACATTCAATCCCACATTTGCTGTCCTTTATTTGCAAGTGGCCTGGAAACTTGCTTAATTCTTCCAAGTCCCTTTGAAGGTTTAAACAGAAAAATAAGCAGACTGAATTAGGTAACCTTTATGATAACATTGAGTTTTAATATTTTATTTTGAGAAAAATACATAGTCATGTTAATAATTTAAATGTAGTGGTAATCTTTATTGCTCAGACCACATTTATAAGCAATAGAAATGTATTTCAATTTTATATACATATTAGTGTAGGCACAAAAGGATTTGTTGCATACTACAGGAAAAGAGCAAATGAATAACTATTCCTTCATGTTCTTATAGTCTTTCCAGTACCACGACTCTTTCCAAGAGTAATCTAGTGAGAGCATACATGTTTATGAGTTTTCTTTGAGGAAAGATGACTTGACCAAATAACACATAGTAATTGGACACTGAAAAAATCAGGACCCTTAAAATTTTATGATTGGCCCCAGAAACACCATTTAAAAAGGAATAGAAATTTTTTTAATCTTACATCAATTAATGTGTGTTATCATTGAGTGTTGTTTACTTATTACAAATATAATATTGTAAGTGATAAGGACATGGATACTTCCACTATTAAATATGTTGTTTGGTTAAACATATGCATTTTAATTTCTATATTTTTATTATGGTATAGTGAAAATACCGTGAGGTGGAATGTTATGAAAGTGCCTTAAATGTTAGTATTTCCAAGTACACTTTACTGTATCATGTGAATACTATTAATTAAACATAGGCATGGGGAAGTGCTATGGCACTGATTGAAACCCCCAAAATAGTTCATACAGATGCAAGAAGTTGGGGTGATCAGGCCCAACACTAGTGCTGAATTCAGGACCTCAAGAAGACCAGATTCTTTGAGTCATGCGCATGAAGAGTTAGAAACACAGACACAGAGGAGGGGTAGTAAAGCAGAGTTTATTAAGCAAAGAGAGGAGACACAGAGCTCCTAAGCAGGGACAGGGTCCAGGAATGGGTTGCTGAAGAGGAACTGGGGTGAAGGACTTTTATCCCAGCAAGAAGGGACTTGTGCATGCATTTCCCTTGTTGGGGGCTATGTGTCAGGTAATTCACATCAATCTTCTCCTATTTGGGAGTGTACTCACAAATCACAAGACTTTTAACTTTCAGATCTCAATTAATTCAGTAGATCTTTGTCTGAGGTCTGTGGTCCATAAAGTTTCTAGTTTTTATCATGCTTTCTACAAGTCTGAGACAAAGCTTTGTTCTTTGATGTATTTTTCCCTTATGCTTCTAAAATGTAATCTCATTTAGACCCCTTTATCTTGCATATGCAAACTTGCAGGCTATGTTCCCATTTCTTAAACAATAGCTCATGCCATGTTATTGCGCAAGATCCTTCACTCTCTACTTTCTGGACTCAGAAAGACTATTTTTTTTGAAATAGTCTTTGTTTGAAATGTAGTGGTGATATGGAGAAATGATAGTTTCAGCCATCCTTGGCTCAAATAGGCTGTAAGCAGCTCTGTATGAGCAAGCAGTGAGAGCTGGTCACTGATTTACAGTGAGAGCAGTGAGTGATTTATATTAAAAGCTTGACCAGAGCGACTCCATCTTGTACGCTGACTCTATCTTATAGTTCTATGCACTAACTACAAGTGTGTGTCCATTTCCTACCATAGTGACTATTTTTAGGGGGCCCTGCCCTGCCTAGCTACAAGTGGGTATCTAACTCCTGACCAACACCTAAACTCTTTTGTGTGGTTAATATTTTTACAGATCTGAACTGTCTGTCACACTGAAAACTGCACTCCTTCATGGGGCCAAAGGTGCCGCAGATGTTACCGAGCTAAGCAGTTCATACTCTGGAGCTGGTGAGTGATCAGGAGTAGGACATGAGGCATGTGTCACTGTGAGTGGCTTTCTCCATCACTGTGACAGGACACCTCCGCTCTTTACTCTGAAATATTATTATGTTGCTATCGATTAAAGACAGTGTAGTTTGTTTTCTTTCATCCCGGAAAAAGAGGCACATTTATTTTAGTTGGAACTTGTGTGGTCCCTAGAGGAAGATCATCCGAACAAACATGCATGCCCACACAGACATATGCACATAATTATGTTTTAACTTTAGTTACTTTCTATTCAAGATGTGAAGAAATTTTGTGTATCACACAGTAACAGTATGAATACATTTCATGCATGCCTTCAGAGGTTTTGGAAGCATTTACTTGTTTGCAGCTAAGACTTAAAAAACAGGACAACTTGAAAAGTTTTGCCATGCAAAACATGTGACTCCTTGATGTATTTAATTTTTAAGTATTTGTTTCCTTGCATAATGATGTCAGAAATTACGATAACACTTAGACTGACATGCTGGATTGCTTGTGCAATCAAGAGAATTGAAAATATTAGCGATTTGCTGTTGTTTTCTTTTATAATGGGAAGACCTTCCATGTTCTCCACCTCATGGGTGGATGACCTGCTTATAAACACTTCTCTATAGCAATTGATATCATTCCCTAGCATCATTATGTCTGATTACAATATGTTAGTGCTTTATAGGTGAAATCAAGATTGCAGTGTACACATATGCAAAGCAATTAACAACAACATTTGTCTTTGTGAAAAAACAGTGCATACCCTTTCCTTCCAGGGTTGCTGGCCTATGTCTCTCCCAGCATGGCACCGTCGCAGCGGTTAAAATGAGCACTCAACAGATGCAGCCGAGAAGGGAGCTGGGATCCACGAACAGTTTAGAAAGCTGGTTATGGAGGCCATGGGGAGCCAGCTACGGAGCAGCTCGGGAAGCAGCAGGTTTTGGTTTTCAGCTGAACTGCTATCTCCCTGTCTGGCATTACTGTTCTTTTCTTCTTCCTCCTGTGATTCAATTATGCTTTTCATCTGCATTGCACAGAATATTATATCCTTTTAGATGATGGCTTGGTATGAGATGGAATGCAGTTGTGTGGTGCTATGTTGATCCTGCACTAGATTTACCCTGCCTGCTTGTTTGAAAATTGTTGCTGTCTGGCATCGGCTGGCACAGTTCTCTCTCCAGACTCATCAAGCTCAGGTGCACGGGGCAGGAGATCACTGCCACTGTTGTGCTTGTACTGAACAAGGCTAGGGGTTGTGGTTTGCAAAGACAGTGAGACTCAGGAATTTTAGTTTATAAATGTTTTCCCCAACACCTTTCTGATCAACAAAATCTTATACTTGTTCTCAAAAATCTCAGAAAATTTCAGAAAAGCCATTTAATAGTTTGCTTTTAAAACTGATAAAAACAGAATAATTCCCTTGCTTCTTCCTTTCCAGTACTTCCAACTTAACCGCTGTCCTTTTGGAAAACTCAGACTTGGAACCAACATTTATAGGTGAGTTTATTCTATATTTATTGATTAACATAAATTAGATACTAGGAAGCCAGCAGGAGGTACAGAGATTAAGGTGGCTGTCTAGATCCCACATGGTTGACTGCAGTTCAAGTCCTGGTCCTGTCAACTTGAAAAACATGCTGGGTGGATGTGTGTGCATGCCCAAAATCCCGACAGGAGAATAGAGGAAAAGGGACTGCAGTGTAGCCATCATACCTGGGGGTGATTTTTTACTTTCCTGTTTCTCTATATATGTTTCTGGTGAAGGCACATGCCCTATAGAAAAAAAAAAGAAAGAAAGAAAGAAAAAAAAACAAACAAAAAAAATAACAAAGAAAGGAAAAAAATGGATATTAGGCTTAATTCAGACATCCTGGATTTTTTGTATTTTTTATTTAAATTTTTAAACTTAATGAAATTCCATATTTCATAAGGTCAGGTAAGACACATTTTTGAGGGGAGCCAATAATATTTTCTTGAATTTCAGACTTCTACCAATCTAATGCAGGTAGTACTATCTGCAAGCATAAAATCGGTTTTTCAAATGTTGTCTTTAGTGTTTTAAATTCCGCAATCTAAACACAGTCCCAAAATGAAGACTAGTTTCCTGCTCCATGGGGCCCTGCCATGGAGGACGGCCGCATTGCCTATGCGTGGTGTTCCTGTCATATCCTTTTCTTTCAATTTAGTGTTAGGGAAGAGAAGAGATGGTCAAAGTGCTTGGCTATTCTTCCTGCTTGGATGCACGCTGCTAAGTCAGTTTTGGAAGAGGAAGCCCACATCCGAAGTCAGTCTCCACGATTAGTAATGTTGTATGTGGCAACTCATGCCACCTCCTCGAAAGAAAATATGGTAACAGCCAAAACATAGCTGTTGAAAGTAGTAACAGAAAATAAAAACCTGCATATGCCAGGAGTAGTTTGTGGTGCTTTTGCCAATTGATAGTAATTTCTTGTTATTAAGCACTAATTAATTTGTTGGCTAGTTTACTTTATAGACTTGCTGGCTGTTCTCTTTCCTCATACATATTTTATTACTTGAGTTAAGTAATTAAAGTTTCCTAAGTGGCTTGCATTTTACTGTGTATGTAGCTTATCTATGAATTTCAATGAACTTGGCGTGGGTCTATTGCTGAAAGCCACAAGTTGCACTAGGGAGCTGACTCCTTGCTCTCCTACACCCTGGGAATGAGGAAGCTCCATTCTGCTGCCAGGAAGCCTGGGTTCTGACGGTCAGGCCTGTGGTCGACGCTGCTGACAAGCTGCCTTGCCAGTCCTTCCTGGAGCCTGGACCTTATGGAAACACCCTGCAACTCTGTTGCTTGATCCCACACGCTGGGCCTGGGGACAGTTTAGGAGCCAGTTTTGTAGATGAGCAGTTGAAGGGCTGGTCAACCCATGTTGTGAGTGTCAGAGAACCCTCACTCATGCCAACTCCCTTAACATTTGCTTAGATAAATTTCTATTCTCTTATTTGATCTAGTAATTGTATTAGAAAGAATCAAAATGGATCATATAGATGAATATCATTACTGGGACAGAGTACCCAGGGGAAAGACATATTCCTATAAAGGTACGTTTGTGGCAAGACAATGCTGTGTCCTGCATGTTGGAAAAAGATGGAAGGAGAGCAAAAGCTGTCGTCATTCTATGAGGCTCTGATCTCTATACTGCTTCCTATTCTATTCTCTGCACTTTTACAAACAGAAAACACTGTCTACCATACTGTGATATTGTCGCTTCTGTTGATGAAATGATATCTCATTTGTCTGAAGAGTTTATCCGAACCCATTATCAAGTCCCTAGACATTATCACCGACAAATTCGCTTTTCCTTTTACTCTCCAAACTGTTAAACAGTCCTGTTGACATGTTTTTATATATTTTTTATTTCAATTCTTTTATACAATCACATAGGTCACTTAGCTTGCAAAGTGAGTATTCCAGCATGCATACATTTCTCACCAGTCCAGTTGAGAATACTATACACGTTATCTTCAACAGATAATCCATTTCTTTGTCCCATAAATGCCTTGCCTCTCTGTTTTTCTCCTTAATGTCCTTCCTCAGACTCTCCTCCTTCACCTGCCTTCTTCCCACACCGTATCTGGTATTTATAACCATTTTCTATGTTTCTATATCCTCTAGTCATTCAGTTTCATCTATAGAGTGTGGACACTTGGTGTATATTAAGTGGAGACATACAATGTCTTTCCTTCATAGCATGACTTACTTCAATCAGCAATAGATCTTCCATATTTATCCACTTTCTGTCAAAAGCCAGGGTCTTGTTTTTTATGGCTGAGTAGTATTCCATAGAGTATATGTGCCACGCTTTTTCAGTCCATTCCTAAGACCTCAAACTATAAAACTACTGCTGGAAAACACTGGGGAAACTCTGGGAGATGTTGAGATAGGCAAAGATTTCTTAAATAAGACCCCCAAAGCAGTCAATGATCCAAAAAACAGACAAATGAGATTACATTAGATTAAGAAGTTTCTGCATGGCAAAAACACAGTAATTAGTGTGAATCAATAGCCCTCAGAATGGGAAAATATTTTTGCAAACTATACGTCAGATAAGAGACTGATAACCAGAATACACAGGAAACTCAAGCAACTTTATCAAAAAAAGATGATCAACCCAATTAAAAGATAGGAGAATGAGTTGAAAAAACCACTCTCTAAGGAAGACATACAAATAGCCAAAAGGCATATCAAAAAATGCTCGACATCCCTCATTGTAAGGGAGATGCAGATCAACACCACAATGAGATAGCACCTAACCCCAGTCAAAATGTCTAAGATTAAAAAGAAAAACAAAAAATGATGTGTTTAGTGTAGTGAAAGGAGAAAGGAGAACTCTCCTACATTGCTGGTGGGAATGTAAATTGGTTCAGCCACTGTGGAGAACAATATGGAGATTCCTCAAAGATCTAAGCAATCTCATCTCTTGGTATCTTCCCAAAGGACAGAAGAATCCTCAGTCAGAAAAGTACTTGCCCAAAGATGTTTATTGTGACATTATTCACAATTGCTAAAGACATGGAACCAATGCAAATGTTGACATTTTATTAGAGTGAAATTTCTTTCTCACTGTGAAGTTTTATTTGTGTGTCTAAGTTTGTTTGTTTTGTTTTACTTTTATTCATACTATTCAGAGTGACTTCATTTTCTCCCAAAATATTTCTTTTCTTCCTGAAAACTCATGACATTTGTTATTATTATTATTATTATTATTATTATTATAGAGTGCTGGGTTTCTGTAGGACACATGCATTCACCCAAGAGACAGAGAGAGAGTGAGAGATAAAGTCAGAAATCACTCTCCGGGGGGGAATGGCCACACCGCAATCCCTTCTCCTTTCTCTCTCTCTTTTTTTTTTTGAAAGATTTTTACTATAGGGCGTGTGTGCTCGCCAGATAGACAGAGACATACCGACAGAAAGCGAGGCAAGACATACCCCGCAAGGGGGATGGTCAAGCCGCAATCCCTTCTCCTCTATTCTCCTCTTGGGATCTTGGGAACGCACACACACACGCCCGGCGTGAGTTTTAAGCCATTGGGTCCAGGACGCGAACCACGGTCGACTACGTGGGAGTCCAATGACATAGCCATTACGCTAACTGCTGGTTCCCTCCTTTCTCTTTTCAGGATTTTGGGAATGCACATACATGCAGCTGGCATGATTTTCAAGCTGCTGGGTCTGGGACTCAAATCATGGTTGACCATGTGAGAGTCCAGCACCTTAAGCATTATGCCACTTATTAACCCCAATTCATAACATTCATAATGCTCTGATAAATGCAACATCATCCTCACATCTCCAGGTTCCAGCTGAAATTCAACCTATTAGTAATGAAGTTGGCTAAGTTGTATTTTATTGTTTTAAATTTGAAATTAGAATTAAAACTGTACATTTGATTTTCTCATATGGCAGCTCTGCTGCATAATATGCACCTGAATTTTAAGTTGAAAGAGTATTCAAACATTAACTTTTCATGTGCTTATTTTATGGAATGTTTTGCTTCAAGAAAGAATGTGTAAAGTCCCTCAAAAAGGATTTTAGTTCTTGGTGTAACAGTATGCATCCTTATGGAAAGTTGTAACTACATGGTGGAGAGAGATTCCCAGTAGCGTCTTGTAGCACTTGTAGGGTTCTCCCGTGCTTGGGTGCAATACATGGGCAGCATGGGCTGCAGGACTGCATGACAGCAGCTAGGAAAGGACCACCTTTCTCTGTTGTGTGCCCGATAATGTCCCTACTGTATTATCATTGCAGGGTTTTATGATGTACAAAACTTACACTCCTCATAGAGCAGTGAATACTGTTAGATCAGGGTTGTGTGAGGTCTGCTTTTATTTGTAAAGAGCTAAGTATGTGTGAGTCACTACCTCTGATTCATGGTAATATTTGGTCTTAGTTTTTACTTCTATTCTTAAAGAGTCTGGGCTTGTTTTCAGTCTGATGTACCTTAGCTCTGAGATAACTCGAAGAAAAGTATAGGTAGTTCATATAAACTTATGGATTGCAAATAGTCGTGCACTTTAGCATCGATGCTAAAATGTGTTCGGCAAATTGTAAAAGTCATGTACGGGAAATGGAGACAGCAGTGCTGGAATGTCCCCCCCTCACTGAGCTGAATTGCATCTGGCTGGTTTGTTTCCTTTTTGAATCTATTTTATGAATAAGCAAATGTCTTATCAGCTTCCAATATTAGTGTCTGTGTCCTTAATTTTTGTAAAACTAGACATCTAATAAATATTAAATGATATAATTCTAAAATATAGCTAAATCATAATAACATTAGACATTTTAAAACTTGTTTCAAAATTAAGATAAAAAGCAATAACCATCTAATAACTGAGATTGTCCAAATTACAAAAGAGTATTCTCAGTAAAAATTCTCAAATTGAACGTATGTATTAAAGAACTGATTTTTCTATAAAGAAACATACTATTTTTATTAATATGTGTGACTATTTAAAGCAAAATAATGTT